AAACAGAAGTGGAGTCTAGCTCTGACCTTTGCTAGGGCTTCAAAGGCACCCAGCCTTCAGGGGGTTCTCTGTCTACGCTTATCAGCTAGTGAAGACAATAAACGGTTTCCCACAGTTGCAGGCTCTTATTACTAAAGCTATCCCTGCCAGACCCACGGCCCCTACCTGTGCAGCCTGGCGCCCAGCCTGGGCAAACCTCCTGGGCCCAGTACTCAGCAACAGGCCCGGCAGCAGCTCCCAGACTGGTGTGGTGCAGGCCTGGCCTCTGACGGCTCAAGTGGAGGCTGAGCCCAGCCCTGGCCCCTCCTCCAGAGGAGCTGGAAAGAGGCCCTGAGTCCCCACTCCAGCCCCTGGGCCTTGGGTTCTGCGGGACAGCTTTGTCCTTCCACGGGTCCAGTCCTGGGGAAGAGAACTTGCTCTGGGGTCAGCATTCTCTGGACCCCTGGAGGGGTTGGATGAAGACCAAGCTCAGAGTGGGCTGCGGTGGCTACGGTGGCTGTGGTGGCAGCCCTTGTCCCCAGGGACCTGGGCAAACGGGTTTCTCAAGACAGAGGGGCAGGGCTGACACCAGAAACTTGGCCAATGTCTGCAACTTAGAAGAAGCACTTGGCATTGGGCCGCAGCTCGTACACAGTGTTCCTGGCACCTGTGTGCACACACATGCTCACACATATGACTAGGAGCTAGTCTAGGGAAAGCTGTGGGTAGATGTGAGTGAATACATAGAATCTTTAATCCAGCCCAGGGTCACGTAGGCTCCTCTGCTCACAGCATCTGAGGGCCTGGCAGCTGCTGTCTTCCCTGTGGACATCACTTCATGCAGAACCAGAGCTGAGTCCAAGAGCGAACGGTGAGCCCACGACAGTTGTAGGTCTGGCCAAGGAGCCAGGGGAGCTGTGCACCTCCAGAACCTCCATGATCCCTGACCAGGGGTCCATGTGTCTCCCTGTCACTGTGGGCCGTGTCCTCTCTGGGAAATGAGATGTCTGGAGTTGTTCCTACAGTGCTGTGAACTAAACCATGCCGCAGGTCCCCCCCCCCCAGCCTTTGGATCCTCAGGGTCAGGGTGGAAGTGGGATCCAGCTGGAGCTGTGATTGAAAAGAAGAAGAAAAGTGGGGGCTCAGAGTCCACAGGCCTTACATCAGGCCCACCTGGGCCCACACCTGCCCGGCACCCATCAGCCCCGAGAGGGTAGCCTGCTTACGGTCCCTCTCGCAGCCTCAGTTCCCTTGCATATGAAAGGGGGAGAACTAAGTTCACCCCACAGGGTCCTCTCAA